ATTTAAGATGTATCGACCAGAAGAGACTGTGAGAAGCAGATGACAGGATTAAACCTGATTTCCTGTATCTTGAGGAGGCACGTTTGCTCCATTCACCATCTTTCCAGGAGTAACTATTATACCTCCCCAGCTGGTCTTGCTATGCTAATCGTGCACACACCTATGAAGTGTTGAAATTAAAGAGCAGAGAGAGCTATGAACTGCTGTCAGTACTGCACACTGTTCAGTGTTCTGGATTAGGAAGAAGATGTAATAAGAGGTAATTCTCCCAAACCGGAAACTATTCATACTCCACTACTTCAAGATTAAAAAATAATCAGTTAAAAGTTTTTACACATCCTATATAAGAAAAGGCTAATATGCAAATAGACCTAACGGCAGAACGACCAGTCACTATGATGCCCATCGCATTGACCGTTAGGTGATCAGTGTGCTCCCACAGGGGGAGCACTGCTCAGCCAGAAGGCGGGCCTACAGCTGGTGAGCACGGCGGCGGCGGTGGGAGCCCCTTAGGCCTCTGTGGCAGGTGGCCATCCCCCCAAGGGCTCCTGGACTGGGAGAGGGTGCAGGCCGGGCTGAGGAATCCCCCCTTTGTCCCCAGTGCATGAATGTCATGCAGGGGCCTCTAGTTCTTCTATAAACACACGCATACACATGAGGCTTTAGCATCATGATCAACAGCTAAGAAATGTCTTTAAGCGCTACTCCAACGGTGAAAAGGGTGCCTAGACGGTGGAAATCTCTGTACCTTCCACTCTATTTGTTCTGAAACCAAAACCCCTCTGAATAAATAAAGCCTACTGAAGGGAAAGGTGCCTAGAATTACACAAAATGTCTACAACCGCCAGAGTGCAGAAAGGTGTTAGAACTGTCCCCCCGTTACTTCAAAAAAGCAAATGTTAAAACAAAAGGAGGAAGAAGGGATTCATTCATTTATCCAATAAATATTTATCAAACTCCTACTACATGAGTCAGGCATTGTTCCCAGTACAGTGGGAGACCTCGCCTCTGGAAAGTGCACACCACAATCAATGTCACCACAGTCAACACACTGCTGAGGGCGCATTGTCTGCCTGGCGTTGTCCTAAAAGCTCAGGTTAAAAAAAAAATCACATACAATCAACACAGGTGCTTTCTTACTATGTTAAGCAATAGTCTTTTTTTAAAAAATACATTTTTATTGATTTCAGAGAGGAAGGGAAAGGGAGAGAGAGAAACATCAATGATGAGAGAGAATCAATGATCGGCTGCCTTCTGCAAGCCTCTTAATGGGGACCACACCCGGGGCCTGTGCCCTTGACCAGAACCGAACCTGGGACCCTTCAGTCCACAGGCCGATGCTCTATCCACTGAGCCAAACCAGCTAGGGCATAACCAATATGTCTTATTCAGGTCTCTCTGTTCACTTTCTTACTCTTAGTATTTTGGGCTTCTCCATTTCTTATTTGCACCAAAATAAAGAAATTAAGATAGAGGCCCTGGCCAGGTAGCTTAGTTGGTGAGTGCATTGTCCCAATACGCTAAGGTTGCAGGTTCAATCCCCGGTCAGGGCACATACAAAAATCAACCAATGAATGCATAAATAAGTGGGACAACAAACTGATGTCCCTCTCTCTCTTTCCCTCTCTCTCTCTCTCATCAATAAATAAAAATGTTTTAAAAAGATGGTGGAAAGGGCAGTAGGAGACATAACTTCTGTCACCAAGTAATCTGCTAGCTGCAAAGAGTAGAATAATTATGAAGAAAGCTAAAATTTCCAACAGATTTATTCACGCTTCACATTAATGGTTAAGCCAATAAAATTGAACTGACACTTCCATACTTGTCAATTCTTACGAATAAACAGGTGCAGGTAAGAAAAACAACATTAACATGTACAAGAAACTCTTGCTTTGCCATTTCTCCAACGACCGGTCACAATTCCATTAAATCAGTACAACCTATTTACCCTCCTACCTTACTTTTTAAACAAAGTCTTGATAAATTCATTTGGTTCTTCTTACAAACAAAAGTGAATCCCTCTTTTGACTCTGATGGTGTAGGCTAGAGTGAAGACCTACTTTGCACGTGCTCACTGAAATAAGTGGATAGCCCACACTGTATATAAGGTGACTTAGATTCAGGTAGCTAACTCGCACATAGTAGCTGTTCAATAAAAATTTTAAACTTGGATGAAAAGGCATTATTGTGAAGGGCTGCACAGAAACAATGCAGTTGTGACCTAATAATCCCTTTACAGCAGCCATTTACACTCTGACCTGATACAAAATAACCCCCATTTAAATACAAACTAAGCCAATAAAGTTATTACAAATTCCGGGTTTTGCGTTCATTTCTATAGTTGGATGATAACTTCCTGACATCTCATGATTCTAGAAATTTCCTAGAATATGAAAGTTTACTCCTATAACAGAGAGAGAGAGAGAGAGAGAGAGAGAGAGAGAGCAAAAAGGTTTTATTCCCTCTGCAAAGCAGGATGTGGCTAAAGAGTAAGCCTTTCATGTGAAGTGCAATCAGAACGCTGCTGTTCGTAAAAGCCTATATGGACTCGGACTCATGTCCTAAAATGTGTGCAGACCTGACGGAATTTGTGAGGGTCTATGCAAGCTGCAGCCACCTGCCACAAGTAACTCACGGCCACCCAAACCAAAGCTCCTTCTCTCCACGGAGAAGCAGAACCCCGCCAAGCTGGGCTCAGGCGCCCCGTCATTATCTCATTACCATGTGCACCACCCCAGGCCACCGTTCAGGGAAAACCCTCAATCACCGCCCCGGCCCAGACCACCGCACATCTCGGGTCTCTCACCACTGGACCACTGGGGCTTGCTGTTCGGAACCCTTCATTATTCCATTTTAAAAAACCACTCACACACTAGTCAGATCAGGGCCCTGGCAACAGACATGTGGTTGCCCTCGGACTTCTCGGCTCTTCCTCTTAACACTCAGAGCTTTGCATCCCTCTTATTAAGGTGCCAGTAAGGGAGTTCTCCCTTTTCCTCCATTAAAGCTCTAAGCCGCTCCAGAGTGCTGGCCAATGTTCTAGCGAAGGCCTTTTAGCAACAAAACTCTCCGCTGGCGTATACGTGCATACAAACAACTGCTGACTGACTCATTCTTCTCCATAAACTCGAGTGAAAACATTTCAAGTAGCTGACACGCCTCCCTTAGACATCTTTTCTAGTCTGTTTCATTTGGGAAAATGCAAGTGTATGCAGAAGGCGCAATGCCAGGAGCCCCCGTCCCCACACCCAGCTTCAACAAGGACCTGCTCATGCCTGCTTTCTGTCATCAGCACGCCCATCCACTGCCACCCCACTTCTTCTGAAGCAAACCCAAGACTCCATGTGGCTCGTATATATTCCAGTTCCCAGTTACTGCCAACAGCTCCTTGTTTGTGCGTTCCCTCCCACCGCTTCCCCCAAAAAGAAGTATATAGAATAATGGAGGCCATTGGGCTTCCTTCATCTCCACGTCCCTTCTCAGCCACCTCCCTCTTCCACATCACCTTCCAGAACATTCGCCAGCATCACTGCGAGCTGCCGACCAGTGCACATAAGTGCACGCTGGCCACTGTTTCACTTAGAAATACATTGAGTTTCTCCCAGAACCCCCTTCTCTTGTTTGAACAAGTAGAAAAAGAAAAGAAAAAAAGAAAAATCGTGCCAGTATTTCTATTCTCTTGATAAAAAATTACTTTTGGTTTACTCCCTGGCCCAGATAAGCTGGAAAGAGCCGAGCCGAAGGGAGTGGAGCAGGCGTAGATGAGGCAAGAAATAAATGCTCAGGATTAGCTCTAAAGGGCAAAGCGAAGGCCAGTATACAGTGAAAAACAGTAGATTCCGCCCAGTTAGGTGTGTGCAGATATTTTAAACCATCTGTTATTTCATTTTAAAACTGAATGCTTGTAAACATCAGCCAACATCTGGGGTTCCTTTCGACACAGGATGTTCATAAAATAAATCGTCTTCATCTAAGGGTGCTCTTGCCCTCGGGATTTTGGTTAATAACAGTCGCTGCTTCTGAGCCTCGGAAATGTTAAGGAAGGAAGATAATGGAGGGAGGGGCGCTCCGCTGGGGCTCTAACCCTGTGAGAGGTGAGATCCTTGCCCGCCCCCCCCCCAGCTTCCACCCGCTCCCCCCCCCCCAAAAAAGGGGGCTCCGAAGGAGGCACTCCCCCCTCTCCCTGGACGCGTCTCATCTTGGAACATTTCAGTGAATGACTGGGATTTCTCCCTCCTCCCTCCGGACGCCTCTGCCCTCCCAGGCCACTGATTGCCCCAGGAGCCCGGAGGGGGGCTGGCACCGAGGCCACCCCGCACCCTGGCACCGCAGGCCGCCCTGGCCGGGGGCTCAGCCGCCGCGGCCCCGGCCCAGGATGCGGGGGCCCCTCACCGCCCCCCTGAAGGACAAGCCCCGGGGTGTCTCCCGGAGGGGATCTCCCCGAACACGGCCACTTCCCTCTCCGGGCCAGAGGCGCAGCCCCAACCTCAATCCAGGGCCGGGTTCCCCATCAGGAACCACAGGTGCCCCGGCCGCGGCGGGTCAGGAGGTCTCCCTCCGGAGGGAGGGCCCCCGCGGCCCCCGCGGCCCCGCACCAGGACGCGGGCTCGGCCCCGCAGGCCGCCCCGCCCTCGGGGGCCGCACCTCCCCGCGGAGAAAGCAGCCGGGACGGCGGGGCCGGGCGCCCCGGCACATAGCGCAGCCCCCAAACCGAGGCTCCCACGCCCCCCGCCAGGCGGGTCTGGGGCGCCGGCCGCTCGCCGAGGACGAAGGCTCTGCCCCCCGCACCGCGGGCCTCCGGCCGCCGCGCCCCCAGCTCAGGCCGCCGCGGGGACCCCCACCCGCCCCCATCCCCTCCCCCCGCCGACTCCTCGCGGGCGGAGGCCCACGAGGGCGCCCGGCCCGCGCCTCCTCAGGCCGCGGGGACCCCGGCGGCGCCACCGCCTCGCGCCGGCCCGCGCGCCCGGCGCCGCCTCCCGCAGCCCGGCCGCCGCACTCACCCACAGCTCGGTGCCCCAGCTCATGGTGCAGGGCGCGGGAAGGGGCGCGCCGCGCGGCGGGCGCGGCTCTCCGGTCCCCTCCCCGGCGGTCCCTTCGCCCCTCGCGATCCCCGCGATCCCCGCGGTCCCCGCGGTCCAGGAAAGCCCGGGCCCGCGCCGCCGCAGCCTGCTCCTCGCCTCGGGTCCCCGCGGCGGCTCCTCCTCCGGGTCGCTCCTCAGCAAAATGGCCCGAGGAAGCGGCGGCCCCGGCAGCCGCAGCGCCCGCCCGCCCCACACCCCGGAGTGAGGGGAGAGGGCGGGGCGGGGCGGGGCGGGGCGGGGGCGGGGCCCGGGCCGCGCGCCAAGACCGGGGGCGGGGCCTCCTGACAGCTCGCGCACGCGCCGGGCCCACCTCCCCCGGAGCCCGCCGCGGGGACCCGCCGCCCCGGGAGGACGCGGGAGGAGGGTCCCCGCTGATTTGTAAAAATCACTCGTTAGCCACCGCGCTCCGCTCTGGGCTGACCGCCGGCCTCCGGACAGAGCCGGCCCGGTGACTGCCGGTGCCCAGGGGGCCTGAGGCTGCCCCTCTGCACACTGGACATGTCCCCCCCCCCCCCCGCAGCCATTCCCGCCAACCTGGTCCCCGGGATGTGCCTCCCGCACTGCCCGGCGCCGCGGGGCCCGGGATCCTGGGGGCCCCGCGCGGGGGGCGTGGGTCCGGCACAGCGATGCCTGTGCGCGGTCCAGAGAGGGGCGCGGAGTCGGGAGCGACCACGTAGCTTCGAGTGGCCAGGAAGGTGACCCGGGGCGCGCAACCAGTGATTGCCAATCTGTGAGGCCGGTGGTTTCCAGCTTGTCCGGCCAAGAAACGCTGAGACATGCAATCACGTTGCAGCTTAGAGGGTAAGAACAGGCGCAGGGGCCACAGATGAGGGTTTGGTTCCAGTCCGGCTCCCCGCACATACTCGCCGAGCGGCCTGGGCCCGGGACTCCGCCTCTCCGGCCGCTCGGAGCCCCCGTCTGCCCGGCGGAGGTAACGCAGCCGTGAAGGCGAGGATCCAGATGAGCATCTACTCCCAGGCCTGCGGTTGGTAAACTGAGAGCTCATTCGTAAGTAGATACTGACTCCTTCTCCCTGTATTCCAAAGACCTACACAAATATTCTCCACAAGCTGCGGAGGATTACTGGAGTTCCAACCTTTTCCTCCGCATCGCTAGGCCCTCTCTCCTTCACTTAACGCCACTGACTCTTCTGGGTAACTCTGCACTCCTAAAGTGGGTCCCCTTTTATTTTTATTTTATTCTTATTTTTTAAAACTTATTCTATTGATTTTTTACAGAGAGGAAGGAAGAAGGATAGTCACAAACATTGATGAGAGAGAAACACCAATCAGCTGCCTCCTGCACACCTCCCACCGGGGATGTGCCCACAACCAACATGCCCTTGACGGGATTCGAACCTGGGACCTTTCAGCCCACAGGCCTACGCTCTATCCACCGAGCCAAACCGGTCAGGGCTGGGCTCCCTTTTAGGAATATTTCCCGAGGCATGTTCCCCATACCTACTATCCCCCCTCCTCCCAACCTGCAGTTTATCATTCATCATCCTCTGCCATGAAAGGGTGGAGCCAAAAACTCTGGTAGATAAACCTCCAGGTCTACTTCCTTGGTTGGACAGAGAATAAATTTAACCTGTCAAACTGTTTGGGTCTGTGTTTTGTAAGTTTCCTCCAGCCCCCTCGTTTTTTTTCCCCTGTGTGTGTTTAAATGTTTTGCTCTCACTGTTACCAGGTCTGGGAACTCTTTACTCCAGAGACTGCGAGATATAAAATAATCAGAACTGCCAGCCACTACCTCCCAAGTGGATTAACAGTGAGGGCAAGTTGGAGGGGTTAGAAATTCAAAACCCTGCAGAGTTTAGTTTGCTATCTGGAAACCGTAAGTGAAAAAGGCAGGTTATCTAGGTCCTGATACAACAATCTAATCTCTCTATTGAGTTCTTGGAGACTTCAAAAACAGTGACCACTTGTAAAGTTCGCTAATCAGGAGGAAAACAACCTGCTAATCTAAAGGCAGAAAAGAAAAGGGGAAATGGAGGAAGGGCCAGCAGAAGTAAGAGACCACATTAAGATGAAAACCTTTTGAGATGAGTAAGCAGGAAGTACTTAACAGAAACCCCTGAAAAGCCACAGCAGCAGAGGTATGGAACTGGGCTAACTATATGTACCACAGTGCAAATAGCTACCTTCTGCAAGTTTGGGTGGCAACTAGAAAAGGTTTGAATAGTCCGAATCTTTAAAAAATAAAGGAGAAAGACACCACTGACCTTGAAACCATGGAAACAAACAGGGTTTGGGGTAAAGAGAAATAAAACAGCAGAGAAAAAGATAAATACAGCACAGTATTAGAACTGGATCTATTCACTTTTCCTCATAACAAGAGGGAGTGATTCCAAGACCAGGAACCACCACTTGAGAAATTACTGTGACCTGACCTACTTAGGGCTCAATTTTCACGAGAGGATTCTAAACCCTGTCCGCGCCAGTGCTGGGACGGCTAGGGGTCAGCCTGGGCTGTGTATACCTGCTTCCCTTCAGTGACACCCGCAAAGCACTGATTCACAAAGTTTTGATCTTGGTGGGAGACTACATACACTTCCAGGGAATAATCCCGTCACCTGGATTTCATTGGCACTGGAGGAAGGTGTCTGGATAGGCTGCTGTGATGCTAGAGGGAAGTCTATTAGGGCTTCTTTGGCAGTTGTAATGGTGCTTGCAATTAATAAACGCCTGATTCAGGGGCTGTCACGGGCAGGTTTTGTCATTGTTAAACTGGGATCCTCGTGTTCTACCACTTTTGAGGTGTGTCACCTTCTGAAAGTTAAATCCTTTGCGTGCGGCTCAGTTTCCTTGTTCATAAAATGGGGACCTCAAAGACTGCTTCGAGGCTGAAGTGAGGGAGCTGGTGGGGACCCAGGCTTTGGTGTGAGCTAGATTTGAATAGCTATGCAGAGCTTTGGTTGGTTTGTTTTTCTGCTTTCATCTTCAGTTCCCTCTATAAAATGGAAATAATACCACTTACTTCAAAGGCTACTGCCAAAATGAAAATTAAAAAATTCCCTTTCCCTTCCTCTTGTTTTCTGGAGGATTTTTACTTATTGCATCAAGGAAATCAGTCCTTTAACACCTTTGATGCAGCAAGACAGCTTGCCCAAATGACAACTGATCATTGTCTGTTGGTGAAGTATCATTCCTATTGAAATTCTCAGGATTTTTCTTTTCAAATAGCTCCCATCAGCTTCAGCTTAAAAGGTCCCATTTGCTCGACATTTGAACTACTTCCTAAAGATCCACGGAAGCAGTCAAGTGGAAAAAGTTGGCGTGGGATAAAAGCAGGCACTCTATGGGGAGAATTTTGAACCTGCAACCAATTTTTGCACCTGATAGTGGACTTCCCCTGAAGGTCTGTAAAGCTGTGCACAAAACTAGGAAAACCCAGCTGTCCTGTGGCTGAACAAGTGACACAATGTGCCACCACGGGTAGGAGAAGGAAATTTAACTTTTCCCCCAACCCCCAGGACTGGAGATGTGTCGGGGCCTAGCCTTTCCATGAAGCTCACTCTCTGTACGAAAATGCCACGGGCTTCCCCCAAGCTGCAAGAAATGACATTTCTAGCCAAAGAATGAAAGTGACATTTGACTTCTCAATGTAACGCCAGGCCTGGCCGGTGTGGCTCGGTTGAGCGACGTCCCATGAATCAAAAGGTCACAGTCTGTCTCCAGTCAGAGCACGTACCCAGGTTGCAGGTTTGAGCCCACGCTGGGGGCTGGGGTGCATACAGGAGGCAACCGATCAACTGATAAATGTTTCTCTCTCCTTCCTCCCTTCCTCTCTCTTCCTAAAATCAACAACAACAAAAAAAGTATAGTATTTTAAATATATTTTATTGATTTTGTACAGAGAGGAAGGGAGAGAGATAGAGAGTTAGAAACATCGATGAGAGAGAGTCATCGATCCGCTGCCTCTTGCACACCCCCTACTGGGGATATGCCCGCAACCAAGGTACATGCCCTTGACCGGAATCGAACTCGGGACCCTTCAGTCCCCAAGCCGATGCTCTATCCATTGAGCCAAACCGGTCTCGGCCAAAAAAAGTATAGTATTTTAAATTAAATAAATAAAAAAATATATATTTCCAGGCTCCAATTTGATCTCTAGTCTCCTATACTGTCCTGATAGAGGTTTGGTTCTGAAATATCAACTCTTTTGGTAAGAAAACAAATGGCAATTATACCTTATTACAACTGGGAGAATATTAACCCATTCATTACTTAAGAGATGCCAAATATTTTTAATCCCATTAGGTCCAAACTACAAATTCTGTTACTAGTGGCAACCTTTGGTGGATCCTGCATAGTGAGAGGAAACAGAAAAAAAATAAATAAATGCACTTGACTGAGGGCGCAAGGCTCACAGCCAGGGTTAGGAGAAGTTTTTCCAGCCAATACCTTACCTTCTGGAGCCCCTTTGGAAATGTTGCCTAGGACAATAGGCATAACTCGTTCTGTTACTCACCATGTCTGTTTCCAGTTACAGTGTCATAAGTATGCAAATCACCTTTTCTTGAAACTGAGATCATGTGTCTGAACAGAACTACCCGCATAGCAGTGTTCAAACAGAATTTGAAAAGTAACTGTCTAAAAAGTACGTCATTTTAGGTCTCTGTATAATTAGTGTTTCCCTTTAGATTTCTCTCAATTTCAAACTAATGACTGGCACAATTAAGTACCTGAGAAAGATCTACCGCCTAAACCTCTAGACCACATGTGTCAAACACAAGGCCCGCGGGCCAAATCCGTCCCGCCAGGCCTTGCAATGTGGCCCGCACCGCGCTGTCATCACTGCACTCCGCTGCGTTTCCATCACAATGACAGTTTATGACTGTTCAGTAAACCATTCGGCCCGCGATTAAGGCTGGATTTTAGATTTTGGCCCCTTCTCTGATTGAGTTCGACACCCCTACTCTAGACAGATACCACTGGTGTATAACCCTGTAAGAATAGGAACCAGCTTTAAGCCCTTAAAATTTGTTTTCCAGAAACCAAAAGACAGAAGTCTTCTATTTTAGAAACAATTTAAATGTTTGATCACTATTATATTATTCAATGAAATTAAGACTATTCCTGGTTATTCCGTTTTAAAAAGCCTATGATTATATTAAAATGTAAAGCAAGGGATTCTCAAAAATGGTACTTCCCTTAAAAAGTAAACAGTCCTTCAAGCATTGCAAACTGCCTTTCCAAATGGA